ATCTGTATTGTCAATAAAAACTGGAGGCAAGTTGGAACTGAGGAACCTTTTCCTTTTCTTTTTTTAGGTTGCAGTGCTTACAAGTAAGTCCTGTCTTCAGAAGAACTGGCTCACTCAATAAGAGACATAGCAGGAGTTTAAGTGGCGTAATCTATACGGTTAGTTTGCCAATTATTCTCATTGGTGGAAAATCAATTCTCCATCATAATTACATATTGGCAAGGGTCACTACACATTTGTATGACAGTGAAACAGCAAAATGACTAACATAAACTCTTTTTTTGTTTAAGAGACCTTTACCCATTCCTCCACGTAGACTAGGACAATTTTAGAATACTGAGATAAAATGTAAAAACAGCAATCACGTAGTTTTTGAAACTAACTGTGCAACTAAGGGAGAAGTATGTAAACAAATCATGTTTTGTTAAAGATTTACGGGAGCATTGTGACCTGACCAAGGACAAAGACATTCCCAATCTCTTCTGACTCGCCGGCACCCAGATCTCTGTATTCCTCAGTCACCTCTTGATTCCAACTCCTGAGCATAGTTTCTCCATATCCGCTTCCCATAAAAACCCTCCAGCCAGCCTGAAAGACTTTAGATGGATGGTACTTTAGCATGCCAGTTCTCCATCTTCTCGGTTTGCTGGCTCTCCAATTTAATCGGCTTTTCTTTTCTTTTCTTCTTCTTCTTCTTCTTTTTTTTTTTTTTGTTGAGATTGAGTCTTGCTCTGTTGCTCAGGCTGGAGTGCAATGATGTGAACTTGGCTCATTGCAACCTCTGCTTCCTGAGTAGCTGAGATTCCAGGTGTGTGCCACCACACCCTCCTAATTTTTGTATTTTTAATAGAGATGGAGTTTCACCATATTGGTCAGGCTGGTCTCAAACACCTGAGCTCGTGATCCACCCACCTTAGCCTTTCAAAGTACTAGGATTACAGGCGCGAGCCACTGCGCCTGCCTTAATCTGCTTTTCATCCCACAAACCCCTGTGTCTCATGTCTGGCTTTTCAGCAGCAAGCAACCAAACCTGGGTTTGGTTACTCACATTTGTATGTATCAATATTGTAAAAATTAGCACTAAAATTGTTTCCATTAGGAAGCCAGCAATGTAAAGCATATGAACTTAAGCCTTTATTTTAGGTTCCGGTGCTAAATGGAACTACTATTCAATTTAAGAACATCTAAGGCTAGCTCTCCCTCCCTCCCTCCCTCCCTCCCTCCCTCCCTCCCTCCCTCCCTCCCTTCCTTCCTCCTAACCTCTTTCCCTTTTCTTCTCGCTCCCTTGCTTCTGGTTTTCCTTTCTTCTTTTTTCACTTGCTGCCATCTTCAGTTTATCTCATGATACAAAGTTTTTTTCTGACTGTCATGTGTAACATCAAATGCTCAGGCAAAATGGATGATTTGGCTAGGCTAACAAAGTGTTCATTTTGCAGATTTCCATTTTTTTTGGGTGGATTTTCTTATGATTTTGAGGAAATTTTGCTGTTTCTCTACATTTCTATTTTGTTCTTTGTATTGTTAGTGCTTTTTCTTTTCTTTAATTTTGTTGATTATTTAAAAATACTTGTAATTTCATTAGTTTTTGCAATAAAAGCAGGACATTTTATTATTGTTTCCTACTTTTGAGATTTCCCCCTTTTTTTAATATCATTGTGAGCTCAATGTTTAGTTCATCTATTGCTATTAGCGAATACTTTCTATTGAAACCATTTACCCTACTAATTTCTCTCTAAATGCTATTTTGGCTGTATCCTAAGTGTTTTTGATAAGTAATGATTTATACTGGCTGATTACATCCCCATCGCAGGCCTGTGCGTGCTGTACTTGTTCCTTTTGCCTGAAGCACACTCCCCTTTCTATACCATCTTTCTTTAGTCTGTTACTCTTCATTGTCTACATGAATATATCTGCCTGACATTTACTATATGTGTACTTGCTGTTATTTGCCTGTTTTACCTCAACATATAAACTCCTGAGGTGCAAGGGCTTTGTCTTGCTCATGGCTGTATTTCCAGTGCTTAGGATAATTCCTGGCCTAGAATAGGCCAATATACATTTGTTGAATACATATATTTGTTAAATGCATTAATATCTTTGAAGACTTTTTTTTTTTCTTTTAGTGTTTGACTTGTTCAATGCTGTTAGGTTTCTTATTTTAGTCTTCTTCAGATTGCTCTATCTAGTTTTATTTCTCTGGGTTGAAATTCTCCAATTTGTTGGGGCTCGTGAGGTATCACTCACATGGTGCTGGATTTCCTTATAGATTTCATAACTTTTAGTAGTTTCTTATTCCTTGGGGGCTATCTTTTGTGGATGTTCTATGATATAAATACCCTGGCTTGTGGATCCCTTCTTGGTGGCTATTGTCCTAACTTCCTGGGTATACTGTCACTGAACCAGATCCCAGCTGTTTTGACTTGGAATAGTATGCACACTGCAGGGGTCGCACACCTCCAGAAGGGCTGTGCATCCTGGACAGATCTAACTCTGGACCTGTGTGGGTGACTCTGTTTTTATGCCTGGGGCAGATGGGTGAAGATATTTTGGCTCCTCTGCATGGGGTGACAGTGTATTTTCTGCTACTGGCTTTACTCAGAGAGGCCTAATTTCCATTTTCTGCATGTTGGCTCCCAAGGCTTTGGCTGTCATCTGGGAGCAGGTGTTGAAACCCTACCTTTGTTCCTGAGGCAAAGCTGCCACCTCTATTTCTTCATCCCCTCACCGTTCCTGCCAAGAGCTTAACTTTAGCTTCTTCTTAAACTGTGTTCTTATATTTGATTTCTGCTCCTTGGAAATCATTCTTATCCCCCTTTTTATGCTTAAGCTTGGCTGTATATTTTTCACTTAAAAATATTGCCAGCTAACAGTTTTTAAACGTTTCTTTTAAATTCAGGGCACATGTGCAAGTTTGTAATATAGGTAAGCTTGTGTCATGGGGGTTTGTTGTACAGATTATCTTGCTACCCAGATATTAAGCCTAGTTATTTTTCCTGATCCTCTCCCCCTCCCACCCTTCACCCTCTGACAGGCCCCAGTGTTTATTTATCCCCTCTGTGTGTCCATGTGTTCCCATCTTATAAGTGGGAGCAGTATCTGGTTTTCTGTTCCTGCATTAGTTTGCTAAGGATAATGGCCTGAAGGTCCATCTTTGTTCCTGCAAAGGACGTGATCTCATTCTTTTCTTGGCCGCATAGCATTCCACAGTGTATATGTACCACATTTTCTTTCTTCAGTCTACCATTGACGGGCATTTAGGTTGATTCCATGTATTTGCTATTGTGAATAGTTCTGTAATTGACATATCCATGCATGTGTCTTTATGATAGAATGATTTATATTCCTTTGAGTGTATGCCCAGTAATGGGATTGGCCAGCCAACACTTAGGTATCCAAAAAGCAGGTGGCATAATCCCTAGTTATTTTGGCATTTTTTTAATCCTCTCTGATGGGTATATATATATATATATATATATATATATATATATATATGTATATTAGGTCTTGGATTTTTACATCTTTTTCCTGCCCATACTCTCTGATGACTTCTCTGAAAAGGACACTATGCATTCAATTTGGATTCTGGCTTGTAATTTCTAGCTTTAAGACCAATAATCCCTTCTCCGGACCTCAGGTGGGCTTTGGTCCCTGTTCCCAATTATAGGGCCTGTGCCCACACATGGGCATATGGATTTTGCAGCCTCATCCCTGGGTTTGAGCCACTGTCTCTGTATTTTCATTTGTGTAGTGAGAAGATTTAGCTGATCGGCCTCTTTGCTCAAGCTTCAGAAAGATGTGTGGATGAGGACTTTGGAGAGACACTGGCTAATTCTGTGTTAATAGCTCCGATTCTCCTCCCTCAAATACTAATGTCTTTGTCCTAACATTATTGAAATTAGCAAAATGTTCTTATGAAAACTATATCCAGAGTGTGTTTAGATGGAAGTAGCGAGGAGTATATAAGCATGTCTGCAATCTGTTAGAATAAACCAGGTATCTGTCATGTTTAAAATTTGGAAAATTTTACCTACTATCTGGATTAAGTGAGACGCTTTGGCAACTCTAGGTCTGAATTCTTGCATGAAGAGGTTGGCTGGAGCTGGGCAGCAGCTACCCTCTTCAGACTATACACGTCCTCCCAGTTTTACACAGTTCCCAGGAGACTCACCTTACCTCACTCATTTACTTACCTACCTGGGCTCTTTTGGCATCTGCATTTTTAACCTTGACAGAAACTTTGGGTTTTAATATTAATGTGATTTAACTTCAGCCTGAGGAATTCCAGCAATGTTGGGTTTGCTTAAATCATTTGTGACTGAGATATGAGAACCGGATTTGCATTTTGGAAACTAGGACATAGTGTGAAAGGGGGTTTTACAAGTTCTGTATTAAATATCGTCACTGTCAGTGCTTGATCTGGTTTAAATATTGAGTCACTGGCCAGGCGCGGTGGCTCAAGCATGTAATCCCAGCACTTTGGGAGGCCGAGGCGGGTGGATCACGAGGTCAAGAGATCGAAACCATCCTGGTCAACATGGTGAAACCCCGTCTCTACTAAAAATACAAAAAATTAGCTAGGCATGGTGGCACGGGCCTGTTATCCCAGCTACTCGGGAGGCTGAGGCAGGAGAATTGCCTGAACCCAGGAGGCGGAGGTTGCGGTGAGCCGAGATCGTGCCATTGCACTCCAGCCTGGGTAACAAGAGCGAAACTCCATCTCAAAAAAAAAAAATAAATAAATAAAATAAAAAAATAAAAATAAAAAATAAATAAATATTGAGTCACTGTTGATACGTGTTACCTGGGAAGTTGAGTTTAGAACTAAAATAATGGGAAATACTACAGTTATGAATTAAAAAGGTGGCCTTGCAGTTCTAATCTGGAGGACTTTGGGTAATGTGGAAGCAAATGAATATGAGAAATATGAGGCACTTAGAAATAGACACAGCTAAGATAAGAAAAGTCTCCACATATGACCAGCTGAGAAGGAAAGTACTTACTTGCAGTTCTCTGCGAAATTACTGAAAAATAAGCAAACAGAAATCCATTTAATTTTTCTCAAATAGAAAACACATAGTATTATCTAATACATTTTGCTGGTGTCTGTGAAGGGAGGACTTAGTTGGGCAATGAAGGAGGCATGTTCCAAACCACCCTGTAGATTATCTGGTTTTAGCTTAGTTTTATCATGGAAAACTAGATGCAAGATTAAGCAGTGATGACGTAATGATGAAGTCAAAGGTAGAGTTTCCTTAAAGGTCCTCCCTATTTATTGGACCTGAACAGCTTTGGGCACAGTATTAGGAAAAGACCACCGGATCTTTGCACTATGATGTTTGAAAGAACACTGATGGTCTCTTCCCATTCGTCGTTTTGAATTTCACCTCTCTCTCTCTTTCTCTGCCTCTCTCTCCCTTTCTCTGTCTCTCTCTTCAGCCCCCCAAATTCTGCCTACCTGTTATTTCATAATATTGTTCAGTTTATTGTTGACGAATGCTAGCTTAGTCCCTCTTTTAATTAGTATTAAAAAAAAAAAAAAAACCTATAGGGCAAGCAGGGTAATAAGGAAATAAGAGAAGAATGGGAAACTCAAATCACTTGGACAGAAGTGAAACAAAGGGGACCACAGAGAACCAAAGTAGAAAAAGGGGTGGAATACTTACTTATGGGTGCCATGCGTGGACCTGAAAACCAAATTAGACATCCGTGAAGATTTCTTTGAAAGAAATAAGGTGCCCTCTAAGGAGGTATATTCGTGTAGGGGAGAATCTTGAACACAGCTCTGGGTCCAAATTATGATTCTATGATTATGTATTCTTGAGTAACTATTTGGCTCAGTTCCTTATCTCTCACAAAGGGATTAGTGGAGTTATTCTAAGGATTAAATAAGATAATGTAATTAAAGTACCTATGTAGTTCTATAGGAGGTACAAAGTAAATATATGTTTGAAATTATGTAAATATAACTTCCTCCTCACGGAGAAGCCGAATGAGCAGAAGGCAGAGGAAACTGGAAGCTGAGTCAGGTAGCCGCACACAGAGTTGGAAATGAGCAGGATAGGGACAGGTCTCTAAGCCTTGCAGGAAACAACAAGACCAACAACAGAAAGCAGTAGAAAAAGAAACCGAACTTACCACGGGGTGTTGAAAGCGGACCAGCTGAAAAACAGAGAGGTATCTTAGCAACTGTTTTTTTCTCCCATGATTATTTTCCTTTCTATGTAGAGAGTTTCTTCTTGGTAGGTCTTTGTAACAATCGGGAAAACTTTCCCTTTGGTGTTCATTTACTTTTAATATGAATCAGCAGAATGTGAACTTTCAAAAAATCATGAATAACTTCATGGGATTTTAATGATGGGAAGGTAAGTGGTGAAAGCAGTGTGCACCCCAAGCCTGGAAATCTCAGCAGTACCAGGGAAAGGAGCAATTCTAGAATCCTACAGTGGCGAAAATACGGACTTACTGATGGCAAGTGAAATGAATCTAGTTTGTAAATAGATCAGAGAAAATTATCTCGTTTTTCTTTCTCCTTTGCTCAAATTGTTTTTCAATTTAAGTCCCTTGTAGTATGTCATTTTGACCTGCTAATAAACTTTCTGCTGTTCTTTATTTTTTAATAAAATAGTAAGTCTGGGTTTTTCCATACAGTTATTTAAAAGATGAGTGAATGATGGGTCACATGAAAGCAAAACATGGAGGAAGTAACAACTTCAAGTTGTTTAGGCTTAAATCCCCTAAAATCTCTAAAAGGTGATATAAAATTTTCTGAGATGTTTTAGAATTTAAATGTGGAAAAAGAGACCAGGTACGGCAGGAGGTTCAAATGAAAAAGGGTTACAGAAACTTCTTCTTCTTTTTTTTTTTTTTGAGACAGAGTTTCGCTCTTGTCACCCAGGCTGGAGTGCAATGGGCGATCTCGGCTCACCGCAACCTCCGCCTCCTGGGTTCAGGCAATTCTCCTGCCTCAGCCTCCTGAGTAGCTGGGATTACAGGCACGCGCCACCATGCCCAGTTGATTTTTTTTGTATTTTTAGTAGAGACGGGGTTTCACCATGTTGACCAGGATGGTTTCGATCTCTTGACCTCGTGATCCACCCGCCTCGGCCTCCCAAAGTGCTGGGATTACAGGCTTGAGCCACTGCGCCCGGCCCAGAAACTTCTTATCTACTCCTTTCTCTCCTACCATTTTTTTTCTTTTTAAGATAGTCTCTTGTTGATGGGCTTTGAAATTTTGTAAATTTTTTTTCCTCTGCTCTGACTTATCTCTTCCCTTTTTGCAGTGACAGATAACTGCTTGAAATCCTGCAGGGGATTGTAAGTCAGTAGTCTTAAAGCTTTCTAGTACATCATTAATAATCCAGAGAGGCTTTGATAATGAGACAGCAGGAGGCCAACATATATCTCAAGCCCTTTGCATCCCAATATGGTCAGATAAAGACGCTTGCACTCTGCTAGAGACCAGTTGAGTCCTAAAAGAGAGAATTAAGTGAATACACAGAATGACTGATTTTATGGGGATTCGGTTTGACGGAAAAACAAGCAGAGAGGTTTTTTGTTACCCTCTTCCTGTTTCTTTTCCTACTCATTTTATTTTCCACTGGTAAATTTACTAGTGATGTACTTGCTTGAACAGTATTTTAAAATAAAAGGCACTAGACATTTCCAGAAAACTAATTATCAGCTGGTTGAATTCTGGATAATGGAAAAACAAAGGGGCTGAGAAAATAGAACTTTAAGTTCCATGTTGGAACTCAAGTTCTGATAGGTATCAGTGGACTTTGATAAGTACACTGCAGAGAAACAAATAAAAACTTTACTAATTGCCTGTAGAAATTACCTATCTAGAAAGCAGAAATGGTATCTATATCATTTTTCTCCCATTAATTTCTTTCTTTCTGCATGGGAAGTTCCTAATTGACATTCTTCAGAGTCACGGAGAACTTTTTTCTCTCATTTTTATTTTTTATGTGAGTCAGTGATCCTAAAAAGCCCAAACAGCCAAGGAAGCTCTTCATTGGAGAGCTGAACTTTGAAACAACCGATGAGAGCCTGAGGAGCCATTCTGAGCAAGGAGGAACGCTCACGGACTATGTGGTAATGAGAGATCCAAACACCAGGTGCTCCAGGGGCTTTGGGTTTGTCACATATGCCACTGTGGAGCACGTGGATGCAGCCATGAATGCAAGGCCACACAAGGTGGATGGAAGAGTTGTGGAACCAAAGAAAGCTGTCTCATGAGAAGATTCTCAAAGATCAGGTGCCTACTTAACTGTGAAAAGATATTTGTTGGTGGCATTATAGAAGACACCAAAGGCCGGATGCAGTGGCTCATGCTTGTAATCCCAACACTTTGGGAGGCTAAGGTGGGCGGATCATTAGATCAGAAGATCAAGATCATCCTGGCTAACATGGTGAAACCCCATCTCTACTAAAAATACGAAAAATTAGCCCGGCGTGGTGGCACGCGCCTATGTCAGCTACTTGGAAGGCTGAGGTGGGAGAATTGCTTGAACCAGGGAGGCAGAGGATGCAGTGAGCCGAGATTGTGCCACTGTACTCCAGCCTGGGCGAAGGAGCAAGACTCCTATTATTTTGAACAGCATGGAAAAATTGAAGTGATTGAAATTATGACTAACTGAGGCAGTGGCAAGAAAAGGGGCTTTGCCTTTGTAACCTTTGATGACTGCAACTCCATGGATAAGACTGTCATTCAGAAATACCATACTGTGAATAGTCACAGCTGTGAAGTTAGGAGAGCCCTGTCAGGGCAAGAGATGGCTAGTGCTTCATCCAGCCAAAGAGGTCAAAGTGGCTCTGGAAACTTTGATGGTGGTCATGGAGGTGGTTTTGGTGGGAATGATAACTTTGATCTTCGAGAAAACTTCAGTGGTCATGGTGGCTTCGATGGCAGCTGTGGTGGTGGTGGATATGGTGGCAGTGGGGATGGCTATAATGGATTTGATAATGACAGAAGCAATTTTGGAGGTGGTGAAAGCTACAAGGATTTTGGCAATTACAACAATCAGTCTCCAAATTTTGAACCCATGAAAGGAGGAACTTTGGAGGCAGAAGCTCTGGCCCCTATGGTGGTGGCGGCCAATACTTTGCCAAACCATGAAACCAAGGTGGCTATGGCGGTTCCAGCAGCAGCAGTAACTATGGCAAGATTTTAATTAGGACACAAAGCTTAGCAGGAGAGGAGAGCCGGAGGTGACTTGACCTCAGGTGATCCGCCTGCCTTGGCCTCCCTAAGTGCTGGGATTACAGGTGTGAGCCAATGCACCTGGCCAAAAAACACCTCTATTGGTGATGTTTTCCAAAGGCAAGCAAAAAGCTACAGGTTGCAACAGATTTGTGAACTCAGCCAAGCACGGTGGTGGCAGGGCTGAGCTGCTACAAAGATGACATGATTTAGACAAATACTCATGTGTATGGGCAAAAAACTAGAGGACAGTATTGTGACTAAGAGTATAACAGGTTATTTTAGTTTCCGTTCTGTGGGAAGTATGAGGCATTCCAAAAAGGGTTTTAATGTAGATTTTTTTTGCACCCATGCTGTTGATTGCTAAATGGAAGAGTCTGATCATGATGAAAAAAAAAGTATTTGTGTTTTGAGTAATGGAAAAATAAGGGAACAAGGAAATTGGAACTTTATCACATCACAGTGGGGATGCATACATTTTGGCTTAAGACATGTTAGATACTGCTGGAGACAATTGAGTTTCAATCATGAAGGGAGATAGTCAAACTTACAAGAGGATCTTGTAGCTGAAAAACAAAGAGATAAATCAATGTGTGCAGGCTGCTGAAAGAGGAGCTAGTTTTCTTCTTCTTTTTTTCTTTCTGAGACTCAGTTTCACTTTGTTGCCCAGGCTGGAGTGCAAAGGCACGATCTTGGCTCACTGCAACCTCCACCTCCCAGGTTCAAGTGATTCTTCTGCTTTAGCCTCCTGAGTAGCTGGGATTATAGGCGCTTGCCACCATGCCTAACTAATTTTGTATTTTTAGTAGGTATGGGATT